TGCTGAACAAGCCTCCCTGTCCCAAGCTGCAGCCGTTTGTATTCGGACCCATTCACCAAGGATTTTCCACATGCGACAACAATAAAAGCAACGTCTGTTACAAAAGGAGAGTGCAGGTGGAAAGTCCTTTTGCAGCAAATCAAACAAGGAAGGGTTAGGCGCGAGAAGTCTTTTTGTTCTGTTTTCTGCCTGGCAACTCCCTGACTTTCGTAGCAGTCCCCCGCCAAGAGAGGCTGTGGAGAAGCAGCATCACAAGGAAGAGCAAACTGATCTGTAGCCATCCAGCCGGGTTGTAGCACGGATGCTACTTCTACAGTAACCTGCTTGCTTTGATGCTTCTGCACCCACACTACTGCTGGCAACTGAAGACCTAGTTTCTGGAAAAGCAGAGGTTTAATAAATGTCAAACCGTAACGTCAGGAGGTTCTGCTCAGTGGGCTCTAGCAGCACCGTCTCGTAGCCCCGATGCTCTGACAGCGTGTGAACATGGTGCTCTACACGCTCTGTTAGAAAGCTTCTGACTGCACAGGATGCAAAATTTCAAGGACAAGTTAAAGGTTTGTCCCTGTTTAGTTCAGCAAAAGAACTACTGACATCAAAGAGAAGAGAAAGTCATTAACAGCTGGCCACAACTAATTATGTAGCAAGCCTTTAAGAAAGTGAAAGGAAGAATTGCTAGTCTCAGTTCCTTTTTTTATATCTGAAGGAAGTTAAGTAAGTGACAGCAATACGGAGCCGGCTGTACTTCCCTTGGGTCTGCGCTGCAGGCAGCATGTTAAAAGCAAAGTGGAAGTTGGCAAAAAGCATAGAGATTGTGGGTCATTTTTATACTAGAGATGTCAGTTTAAAAACAAAGCCATTTCTCAGGGAGACTGATCTTTCCATTACACGATGTTCAGCTCCATTTTTTTTCTTTCTTCATTTTTTTCCCCCCAACTTTCTAAGGATGACTACACTACAGCTGTGAGCAACAGCAATACAAGCAGCAGCATGTTTTCTCCTGTACAAAAATAGCCAAAGCCCTGAAAAAGCAGGCAGGGGAGCGACTGCTAGGAGACCGGCAGCTCACAGGAACGGAATATGCTGAAGCTCGTACCAACGACCCGTGCTGTGAGCCTCGCAAGGCCCCTCGT